CATAGTCAAGGCCTTTTCTAGTTTCACACCCCCCCACCAGTAAGAAGGCTAAGGGTACACAAGAAGTTGGGAGGGGACCCAGCAGGGACAGCTGACCCCAACTGACCAAAGGGATATCCCATAGCATATGACAGCATGCTCAACATATAAAGCTGGAGGAAGAAGAAGGACAGAGGGAAGTTTGGAGCGATGGCATTTGTCTTCCCAACCAACCATTAATCATGATGGAGCCCTGCTTTCCTGGAGATGAGTGAACTTCAGACTGCAGATGGGAAGCAGTGAATGAATTCCTTATTTTACTTTATATGGATGTACAGTTGTTTTGTTTGTTTGTTTGTTTTTAGCTATTAAACTGTCATTATCTCAGTCCATGAGTTTTTGCATTTTTGGACCTCTAATTCTCTTCCCCATCCCACTGGTGAAGAGTGACTGAGCACTGTGTGGGGCTTAGCTGTCTACAGGGCCTGAACCACAACATAGCCCTAAGAGTTTCAGTATTAACTGCAAGGGTGTCTCTTTTATACATATATGCCAGACATATATTTATGAAATTGTCCTAATATTCATTAAAATGCCTGATTTTTTAGCTTCTGGACCTCATTAAATCAATTCAATTTTGAGCTTTTTTATGTAAGACAGAGACTTTTTTTGCTTTTAAGATACTCAGTATATTGTTTCATCATACTTTCTCTGCTATACTTCTGTTATTCATTAGTGATCACATTTACAAAGCAAATATTATTTATATTACAGCTTAGTGTCTCCCCAGGCTATACGAGATAGTGTGACTTCCTAACAGTGAAGCTTACCTTAAGGCCATTAGTATAATAAGTACATTTCTTACTCAATTCTCTGTGTAAACATTTTGACTTCTGAGCCTTTGAACTGATTGATGTAGTTTACATGAGCATTGCTTATTTGTACAGTGCATTTTAAAGCATATCTACCATAACTAAAAATAGCTAAAGCTCAATGATTATTTTGAAACAAGCCCACTAGAAAGTAGCCCCAGATGGACTCTTTCTGTCTCACATAAAGCCTGAACTGACATTTCTTGTGTATAATAAATTGCTTCTGGAAAGTAGCTCATTAAGTCTTTCTTGCTACAAAATTTCTATCAAAACAAATGAATGAGTTCATGATAAGGGGAAAAAGAGAACAAAGGGGCTTTCTCTCTGCTGAAGTATGGAGCTGTCCCCTATACCCATGAAGAAATTAAGGTTTTTTTTCTTCTTCTTACTTTCTTTTTATTTGCTTGTTTATTTTTAAATACTTTTAAAAATTACCGTATGTTCTGCTGTAGCTGTGACAAAAAGATTTTGAAAAAATGTAATGTACACTGGGGGCAAATTATCTGTTGACATAACTGCATTATCAGTCCCACTCCTGCCTTTCTGAGTATCATATGCTGGAAGTGCAAAAGTCATACTATCACCATAAGGAATATATCATTGTTAGTTTGTTTTCCTTCTCTCTCACTGTGATGTAGCTAACACAGTATGCTTGAACTGTCCTCTGCAGGAGTCTCTCATTTCACAGTACAGAAGACTAGGACTTGTAAGTCAGACAGTGATGTTTCACCTTAAGCCATCTAAAATTAAGAGAATTCACTGCTCAGATCCCTCAGAGGGATGACAGACTTGTGGCAAAACCACTGCAGATCTTGTTAATCACTTAAATCTAAGTGATAAATGCTACTGAACTGAAAGGAACTGGCATTGCCCAGCCCTTTTGTTTTGGTTTTAGGTTTGTTTTGGTTGGTTGGTTTGGGTTTGGTTTTGATTTACTTTTTTGCTGGTCTTCACTCTAATAATTCAAACAGAATTCAAGCAGCAGTGGTCCTGAAATTTGCAGTGTGTAGGAAAATAGAAGACAGAAGGTCAATCAGGAAGCTTTTTTTTTCTTTTTGTTGCTTTTTATTTGCAAGTAATAAAGTGACCTTTCTCATTGTGTAGTGCATATCCATATTTTGCCTAGGTGCATTACCTCTTAGAGTCAGATAGTTGCTAACTGAAACCTGCAAGAACAGATTTTTATGGTTTTTTTTTAATGCTTCAGGACTTTTTTGGTAACTGTGAAGTGCCAAAAAAATGGCAGAGAAGAAGACTAAGTGTTGTCCCAGGATAAAGGTGTTAGCAGGAAACCAAAAACAGTAGAAAACAGTAGAAGCAAGTTAAGGAAAGACAACAGGATATTGTTATAAATAAGCTTTATCCTACCTAACAAGAATTTTGACAATGTGAAGGCAAACTGGTTTAAATCAGGTTATCTACAAGCTAAAGTGAGAATGATAGAATAAAAACATTCTGTTGAAAACACTTTCCAAACAGAGATACTGGATAATGGAAAGATATTAGGGAAAGATGTTAAAGAGTATATGTCAGTGGAATTTTAAAGAGCAGGTCAAACAAAAAGAATAGTTTAAGCATAGATTATTTACCTTTGGGGAAGTCAGTGGCTCAATGACCTTTTGAGAACACATTGCGTCTTTTTTTATGTGGTGCTATGATTTTACAGCAGGTAGGCCTCCATACTAAATGCTCATTTAGAAAAGCAAACTGAATTTTGTCTTGATACAAGAAGAAGGCAGAATTTGTAATGAAATAGTGTTAAAAGAGATCTAAATACTTTGTGTTCAATAAAAGGCTTTTACACAAAACATTATTATCAATGTACCATAGCAATTACAGTGATAAAAACAAGATCAAAGGCTTCAAAGTTGTCAAAATTGAACATACCAATGAAAATGTCATTTGACATTACTTTGTTCATATGAAAAACCCCACAACTTTGTTTAATTAAATACAAATATTTATTTATATTTATTTTACTAAAATGTTGTCAACCGGTAATAGTAAACATAATAAACACTGACAAGATAGTCAAGCTATCAAAAAAAAATCAAGAACCTGTAAAAGATTGATCAAAGGATAATGCTTGGGAGATAATTTCTCATAGTAAACTACTATTTTACTCAAGGATTTAAGGGGGAGGAAAAAAAACCCAAACCCTAACAAAGAAAAAAAGCTCCTTTATCCACCTTGTCATGTGACCTGTAAGTGAATGTGTGAAACCTTGCAGGCAGTAGCTAACAACATAATAGGTCAACATTCTGTTCTGTTCTATTGACTCTTTCCTACAATATCATTCCAAGAACATCACTGTTCCCAATATATGAAATTTCTGCATCTGTATGATAAGAGTAGAGATAACACAAAAATCTTACAGGCAGAAGCATCCAAAAGCTTGCATATTAAATGGAGATATATTATAATTTCAGTTATAATTGAAATTATCTGCTTTTACTGATTGAAATACACACTTTACTTTCATTCAGTTTTTCAAGAATGTATATCTATATCTATCTACCTTTCTACCTTTCTACCTTTCTATCTACCTATCTATCTATCTATCTATCTATCTATCTATCTATCTATCTATCTATCTACAATGATCAAAGAAGCAAGGCACAATGCTCAAAGTAGTTGTGCCAGAAAAAGAAAGACAGTATTGAGGCTGTTTAGATATACAAAAATGCATTTTAGGTAAAATAATTTTATAATTTCAAAAGACTGAACAATTTTTTTAACAGATCACATGGAAACACTGGTTCTTTATAAACCTATAAAACACATTACACTGTTGTTCAATATTATGTCATACAATGTGTTCTTTATGTCTGTAACATCTATAGCACAGAAAGATAAAGTGAATATACTGCAGAAGAAATCACTAGTTTCAGTTCTATGCTAGGTAAGAACACAAGTTGAACAAAAACTGAGGAGAAAAAAATGCTGACAATAGATCTATTTAATTTCAGTGTGATATTATCATATTTTTCTACCATTCTACGAAAACAATTTTAAAATTAGCATGGGGAAAATATAACAGACACGTTTTGAAGAGAAATAAATTGAAGAGGAATCAATTTCAAATGTGGAAAGCTTATAAATCTGAGATCTGAGGCAGCCCATTTAATATAGACGTTTGGAGACCCAGAAAGAAATACGAAGTCATAGACCTTTCACATGCATTTGTTCAGATCTAGAGAATTTCTCCAAATTTAAAGAATGGATATTTTGTCTACTTTATGGGGTGAAGCAAGAAAAATGTTTATATTAATTTTCAACAAACGGTTTCTTTGCATTAGTAAACCAGATTATCAGAAAAGAGTCTCTGCATCTTGTAATATGACACTATTCATATGGGTATTGTCAAATCATTCACCTTTCCGAGGATATTATCTGCCTCCAAGTGTTTGTTACCTAATTTCTTTGATTTTGAGACAATTAGCCTTTTCATTTGCTATTCAAAAGAGACCATAGAAACTGCTGAAGTAATTGAGAAGCTATCTTGAAAAGGTAAAAGCAGACATGGTTACACAGTACATGTTACTCCAGTAACCCAATGCATTACATTTCTTCTTTTATGTGTGCAAGCATTTTGAATGTTATCAATTTAGTCACACAATTCTGCACTTCAGCTAGAAGCAAAATGTCAGCAGTAGCTTAAGTTTCCCTTTGTATAAGGTTAAGAAATTAAGTACATTTAATATTCTTTCTCCTATGCGAATAGATAGCATACTGTTTTCCAGTGTGATACTGGAATATCTTCCAATACTTAACTTGTGTTCTTAGAACCATGGTATTTTTAATCTGACTTTTTCCATTAAAATGTCAATTTACTTCTAGTAGGTTACAAAATACAAGGGTATTTTCTTAACCATAGAACTTGTGGAGCTTATGTGAGATTTTAATTTTGTTTGGTTTGGTTTTCAAGCAAAAACACAGATCCATGTTGCTTCCCTCAAAAGTATTCCCCAATTTCACCTGTAAGCTTGTCTAACCTACTGCTTATTGAACTCCTTTACCTTAGAACATTTGAAGAAATTTGCTTTCTAATGTTTCAAACAGACCTCGTATTGTGTTGGGGTTTTTCTGTTTGGGTTTTTTGGTGTTTTGTTTTTTTTTTTTCCTAATTTTTATTTTATTCTTATCAAGAAAAAGCTTACCCAGCCACAGTATTTGTTCAAAAACCCAAATTTGATATTCAGGTTCACTGGAGGAATGAGGAATGCCTTAACAAGTACTGGAAAGCTGTACACTGAACAAAACTAATACGCAAGGGCAGTAAGGGCCATTGAAGCAGGTTTGTGAGATTCAAAAACATCCTCAGCTGCTGAGCCTGATCCAAAGGTCACTGAAAGTCAACAAATGGCCATTTATGATGTCAAAAGATATTTTGAAATGTACCTCCCAGAGCATCTGTAGATGTTGTAAGTGTCGTAACACCAGTGTTATCAGAAGCTGCTACAGGTTTTTGGTGCTTTTGTTGTTTGGCTTTGGGTGTTTGGGGTTTTGTTTTGTTCTGTTTTGTATTTTTTTTTTTTTTTGGTTTTGTGGGTTGTTTTTTTTTGTGCATGTGATATATTGCATGCTACATTACGTTAATGGTGTGATTTATTCATGACTGAGGTCATAACAAATCATGCTTAATGTTTAGGACAATGTGAGCATTCTCTAAAGAAATAATTTTGTAATTCAATGGTAACTAGATAGAAATAAAGAGTTAAGGTGTACTATGAATAAATCCAAGGTGAAAATTTATTGATTTTTCAAATCTCTCACATTGTTTCTCAGAACAAAGCAAGTGTAAGTCATCATTATCTGGATCAATATCATAGATAAATAGCTCAGCATTTAAAGTTCTTCCTGTGAAACAGTACTTCTTGCTAATGGCTATAAGTATTAAATTTCTTTTAGGTATCTAATTTTGTTATTAGCATTATACATTGTACTTCCTATCTACTAATCTCATGTGTGGTATCAAAATCAGATAGTAAGTCCATTAGTGCAGGTTTATTTGCAGTATTTTAATTTACCATGGTTTTCATTTTTCCCTTATAGATACTTTTTAATCAAGTGGTACAGGAAAATAAAACTTCTACAGTACCTAAAATGACCCTTTTAATGGTTTTAAATATCTGTATATAAGAGTTTACTGGTGTTTATAAAATTATTTATAATGATAATATATTTCTAGCTTTTTTATTTTGTTATTTGGTTTTGATTGCTTCTAAAAGCTTATTTTGTGTTTGTTTCCGTCACTTTTTTGTAGGATTTGATTATGTAACACACTGACTCCTGCTCTTTGGTACACAAGATGAATGCTAAAATTTTTTTCTGCTTTAAGATAAAAAATCCTTCTGCCTGTCTCTCCAATGCCTTGCGTATCTCAAGAGCTAGAATTTTGTTCAATTCTATGTAAACTGTATTTGAAAGTACTTGATAGCTCCACCACTTGTAGTCACAGCATATACCATATCCAGACCAATGTGCTGACCACCCTTAAATCTGTGACCAGGTTTCCAAGCAAACTACTTAGCCTGAAGTAACAGACTGGAAGTTCCAGTTAATCTGTACATGGTGGGATGGGCAAGGAATGTTCCAGTATGAAGCAGGTTAGAATGCTGCACTGGGTAGACATACCTCAATCAGTCTGTTGAAATAAAATACACAAACACAGGAACTGTATGTTTTACTGATGCTCCCCCTGCCCAACACCTTAGCAAAAACTATTTTAACTTCTCGTAAGAGAAAATCCACTATCTTCTGAAAACCAACTGACAACAGGCTAAATCTTCAAAGTTCTATGTGTCACTTTAACTATGTGTGTTTCAAATGCCAATATCTGTTTCTTTAAGTCATCAGCTACCCCTGACATACATTGACAGGGAATGTTTCCCAGCACAGGAACTTGAGCATGCACATATTCTTAAAAGGTTAGATCAGTATCTGTCAGAACTTTTGTTTATGCCAGCTCTCCCAGTGAATATTTTTCATGAGTGTAGAGTTGGCTTATATTAAGAAACATTCCCAATAGAATGTGTATAACCGCCCTGTTCTGAATACGTTTAATAGAATTAATGTAGGCTGTCCCACAGCAATCTGTTTCAGTATCATTTATCAACCTAACTGTAGTCTATCAGCACTACCCTAACAGTAATGGAAAGGATGTATTTTAAGAAGGACAGTTTTCAAACAACAAGTTTTCAGAAGATTATCTGTATTAAAATAAGACTTGTAAAACACAGCAAAGAGATAAGGAGGATAGAAATACTTTGCTGACCATGACAGAATATGGCACTACCTGCTACAGTTAATTATAAAATATAAGTAATAAAAACATATTCTTATATAAAGCAATTACCATTGAAACAAAGGTGCGTTAGGTCAATACATGAGTATACTACAGAATGAAAAGAAAATATTTAAAGGATACACTAAGGCAATTACTTGCCCGCTTAATTTAAAAAGCGCTGAAGCTCGTATTTGTTAAGATTTATACTTCTGCTATACCTCATCTACCCAGACATGCTCTTAATTCTATTCCTAGTCCATAAAGTAAGTATGTGCATACACTTTTTTTTTTTGGGGGGGGGAAGAACTTCTAAGAATTTCAACATGTTTGCATGCTTGGCTTTTCCTCCATTTACTTTCCCATGCTTGAAACAATGTCTGTATTTATTCAGTTTGTATTTATTCTTTTTATTTTATTTTTTTGACAAAGAAATTACTGTCAGGTTCTAAGAATTCACAGCAAATAATGCATGTAATACAATTTAGAAAAACTTCTCAAAAACTTCAAACTGACAGATTTTAATTAACAATGAAAGTCAGAATTCATAATTCTTCCAGTTCATTGACTGATTTGTTAAAATATTTTGGATTTATTTGCTGGTGGTGAAGAAACACTCAATGAACAGGTTTAAGGGTGTATTTGGTACCAGTATGTTCTTGTACAGGTACCTACAAAAGATTTCAAAATGTTTCTCATAAGGCAATCACAAACCACCAAAAAAATCAGTATGTATCCTTCACCTTTCACTGCTGTATGAATGTTTCATACAGTTTCAGCAGAAATGGTATATATTTTTGCTAAGAATGACTGTACCACTTTCTTCAGCAGCACGTTTTAAAGTATTACCAGGTTATTGTAATAATTCTCTAAAACACTATTTGTGATGAAATAGATACTTAATTTGAATTTATCATTCTTGGGAATCAATAATGCCATTTTCTAAAGTTTGTAACCAAAATGAGTATCAGGCACTGTGAAAACAATATGGAAAGTCTAGCTGTTTCACTTTTCAGAGAACACTTGAATTATTCATTGACTGAATAAGCTTTCTTGATTCCTTAAATGTAAAGTTTCAAAGGACAACCACTTCGCATTTATAAGGAACTGCTTCCAATCGTACTTAATCTGCTTTCTTTTCATTGCTCAGGACTTCATAAAAGCAGGGAAAAAGTGTTTACCCTTTTACTGTCAATAGTGTACTCAGCCTGGTGCTTTGATTTTAAGGTCTGCTTAATATTTTATGCAGACTTATTTCACAGTTATTTTTGAAACTACCACGTTACTTATTTATTCCACAGGTGTATTCTTGCTGTAGGGTCTAGGATAGAGGAAACCAGCTAACTGTATTTTAGTATTTATGTTGGCAGAATTCCCATTCAGGGATATGAACATCATCTTTTAATTAGACTCATCCAAAGCCATGGTTCTTGAAAAAAAGAACTGACAACTTGAATTATATTTGGTATAGGATGTCTATAGCTAGTGCAACGCACTACTACTAAATGGACAGTCATGCTAAAAAAGTTGCTGTTATGAACTGCCATCAAAGCTAATAAGCACATGCAAGTTACATAAAAATATATTTGAACAGGCCTCCATAAACTACATTCATCATTGACACCTATAGATCAGGGAAAAGTCTGACCCTGAAAAGTGCAACCATAACTTTGATTAGCTGACAGAAGGTAAAACCACAGACGTTAACAGTATCACTCCAGACTTAACACCAATTTAAGTGGTAGCAGTATTAATGATTCAAAAATTAAGTGTATGTGTGTCTTACTAAATAGGAATTCATGTAGGAAATTAAGTGATTTTTTTTAATCAATGATTATTTTTAATCAGTGTTTTCAACACATGAAGATGACACTTTCCCTAGCCTGGAAAAACCTAATGAAGTTCTAAAAAATAAATATTATATCAACTGATGACAGCTTTAAAGAATTAAAAACAGAATTAGAAACCTTAGGCTAATAAAATATGACAAGGCATAAGACTGCAAACAGAGGTCCTGCAGCACATTAAAAAGAGAAAGAAATCAAGCAAGACAGTCTAATAAATATAATATGTTTTTTCTTCTCTTTCTTCTCTGTGAACAGTTTTTATCTCTTGTTGTGAATATTTAAACACAAAAGCAGAAGTATCTGAGTTGCCTGGGTTCATAGTTATGTATTCTGAACACTGTTACTCAAACCATAGCACTCCTCAAAAGACAAAACATGGCTGCTTATAGAAATTTAAGATGACAAAATAAAATAAAGGGAGTTACTAACAAGGAGTCAGTCAGTAACTTGATCATTGTTGTGTTGCTGGGTAGAAAGTAAGTTTAGGGATTCTTTTTTTAATAATAAATACATAAGTACAACTGCATTATGCTTATCTGTAAATCCTACATAGAATTCTTACCAAAATTTCTTAAAAATTCTAGTAAAAATGGTTGGAAAGTACTTAACTGTCACTCTATTTATAGTTTGTCTCTTCTGCTCTACTGTTTGATATTTCTTGCTTGTTTGTTTTTCTTGGCTTGCTTTCAACTTATTCCTAGGGAGAATTATCTTTTCCAAGCTTCACCACTTTGTTTTAAAATACTCTCTACCAAAATACACACTACAAATAAAACCCCATATCTTGATGTGCTTCTGTTTAACTACTTGAGTTTTAAAATACAAGGTTCAGATTTTGAAAACTATATAAGGTAATACATTAAAAATTCATATGATTAATATGTTCATATTAATGATTCAATAATTTGCTGAATATGAGCTTAAAAACCTGTGATTTATTTGTATACTGATTATAATGCTATATTTTGATCCAGAGTATCTGTTAAAATTACTTATTTCTTAACAGGAAAAGACAAAATAACAAAAATTGTGGCTCACATAACATTGAGATGACTTTTCATATTTCATGTGCCCTATTGATTTTGTGCCTTTGGCGCTGAAACTTCTAAAGCAATAGTTTTCTCCCAAGGCCTTATCCAAGGATGCTAGTCAACTGAGGTATTGGGAAATTACAGCATTTAGAACACACACAAAATGTAATTGCTCTCCCTGATGTTTATGTAGTATAGTTCACTCTTTAATCACATATGTACCACCTATTCTTCTTCTAAGAAGATATACTTTTATTCATGTGCAGGCTGGATTATGACTGTTTAATTAGAAGCTATTTTCTTTTCACTAGTCTATAGCTGTCCCCCGGCATTATTATTTACTCTACACTATTTAAAATCTTGTTCAAAGACAGGACTATTAATTTTTTTATCAATCTTTATGGCACTCATTTTAGCATCTGAGTGCTTCATAAACAATAATACATCTTCTTTCACAAGTCTCTGAGATAAAGCAGAAGTATTATCCCCGCTCTAACTAAACATAGTAGAAGAATCACGTTGATTCTGAGGCTAGTCTGACAAATATATTTTACAACTTAAACCAAGATTATTAAATTTGCTGATAAATATGAGTATGTAAGATTTCATGATAAGAATCTTGTTAAAGTAACTCAGTATTAACCATGGATGTGGGGTAATGTCATGGTTTAAGCCCAGCTGTAAATCAGAACCATGCAGTCTCCCCCCCCCACCCTCCCGCCCCCAGTAACTCCCACGGGTTGAGATAAGAACAGTCCAGTAACTAAGGTATAACACAAAACCACTACTGCTACCACCAATAATAATAATAAGGGAAATAACAAGGGAAGAGAATATAATCGCTCACCACCCACCAACCAATACCCAGCCCAACTGAGCAGTGACCTAGCCCTTACAGGTAACTGTCCCCAGTTTATACATCGGGCATGACGTGCTGTGGTATGGAATACCTCTTTGGTTAGTTTAGGTCAGGTGTCATGTTTCTGCTTCCTCCCAGCTTCCCCTCCTCCCTGGCAGGGCATGAGATGCAGAAAGTCCTTGGTCAGAGTAAACATTACTGAGCAACAACTAAAAACATCGGTGTTATCAGTGCTGTGCCCAAGCTGAAAGTCAAACCCACAGCACTGTAGCAGCCACTAAGAAGCAGAAAAATGACTGCTACTGCTGAACCCAGGAAAGCTAAGCAATTGCATATAATAGATACCTAACTAGAGCTATGTAAGATAAATTATTTCATAATCCATAAAATGGGCTCCTTTACTATTTCTTGCAACATAGACATTAAGTCAATCTACCTATTACCTACAGATGTTTTCCTCTTTCATAGTCCAGCATATGCAGCAAAAGTATCCAACGTCATCTACTCAAGATACCATGCATTGAAGACGGTGACATTTTACTCTTTCCAGAAAGATTTTGCATGTTGCATTTATCTAATTTAACTTTCTGACAGCCGCATAACCAGAGAATTTTAAAGACAACATTAGTACAATTTGAAATGACTAGTCACCAAGGAACATCTCTTTCACAGAGAAGTCATGTAATCTATAAAATTGCATATATTTGTGTTCCAAGTGCTTCAGTTTCCAAACTTTTCACAATATTTTGTCTTAGAAAGCAACAT